TTCATGGAAAAAATATTATTTATAAATAAAGTAATAAGTTTTGCTAACAACCTTGTATGTTTTTGCTAAGAAAGATTAAGTTAAAAAAAGTATTAATACTGCTTGAGGAATGTTGTAAATATCACTAACAAAATGATAAACTTTAACAAAAGTACTTTATTTAGTCATAAAAATGTAGTCGTGATTTTCACTAAAAGAATGGTTAATTTTATTTAAAAATTGGTAGGTCTTGCAGGGAAAAAAACATGAGATTTGTTGATGAAGTCATAATTTTGCTCATAAAATTAGTAAGTTTTGCTTGAAAGTTAGTAAGATTTGTTGATAAGGTAGTAAATTTTGTCGAAGTAGTGATAAGATTTGTTAATGAAGTCATATATTTTTCTTGAAATGTGGTAAGTTTTATATAGCAAATGGTAAATTTTGGAGGAAAAAGTGATATTTTTGTAAAAAAAAAAAAACTGAGTAGGATTTGTTATTTAAAGAGTAAGTTACATATATTATGACACTTCTTTTATACAAAAACTTACTATTGGTTATCATAATTTTGTGCCCAATGAAACCCATAAGTTAAAATCTACACGTGGCGCCACATCAACTATTTATTTGTGAGTTATGGTAACTCTTCATCACTTTAGACTTTTCCTTGAGGAAGCTCTAAATATCAAAAACAGATCTAAAAACATAAGGAAACGTTTTATTATTACTATTTTTTGTGGTAAGTACACATTTTTCAAGTGCCGATGGAAGGAGTTTTAGAGTTCTTCGGGTTTAGGGTTCTAATGGTGGATTTGGCAGTTGGGGCTGAGAGAGTTAGAAAAAAAAAAAAGAGTAGAAATTGCAATATCTTCTTGAAGTCTAATGAAAGTTGACTTTTCTTAAGCATTTTAGCTTGCTGTTTAATCCTTTATTTTCCGTAATTAAGTGTTGCAAACCAAAGAAAATTACAAATAAACGAAAATACATGTATATTTTTAATTAGTTGAGCAATCCTTATACATCTTCATTCAACTCATGTACCACTAATTGTTCCACCCTCTAGAGAGGTTAATTACAAGCAAAATAATAAATCTCAAGAAACAGACACAAGAATCTTGATCATGTGCGGATTCAGTGTCCTTGGATAGCTATGCTAATAAACTAGGGGACAAGAAATTGGTTGATGCTCCAAGTTAAGTAATAAGAATGCCATGAAGTCCCATATAGCAGGGCCTCTTTCTTGATACAGATACTATTATATTAGCTTGGTGATTTACCACATTCTGTATAACTATTAGCCATTATTAGCCCAGGATTAAGATCATAAATTAGTTCCATTGTTTGAAGCTCTACAGATGATCATCAAACTAATGCCATTTATGAAGTCTGCAAAATGTACTCTTTGTTCTTTCCAAAGAGTGGCACTTTTCAGACCTGAAGACACTTTTCAGATTGGTTCTATGCAGAAACCTGGGTGCAGATTGTCCAATTTACCGTTATTTTGGTCATTTATAAAATATTTTACAGTTACCCCAATTCAAGGTGAGAAAATTGGCTGTCCTTCTGCCATATATTCTAATTGAACCAGCATGTGCACCTCATAGATTTCCTCATACTTCTGTCAAAGTTGTCAAAAAAAAAAAAAAAGCACCACACTTAGGGACAAACATGATAACTTTCTCCTCGATAGAGAGATTCCTCGATGAGATACCACAACAGAAGTTGCTGGGAAACTGTGGTCACAATTTTTCATTTACTACTGCACCATTTCTCATGTGAATCAGACAGCGTTTTGCAACATTTGCCCCATGCAATATGCGTATCATTATCATTACTATATACAACACATTTAAGGGGCAAATACTATTGTGTACTAGTTGAGAGACTTTATAAGACAAATCACCTTGTTATAACAAACATAATGTTTTGCGTCTACATATGATATGACATTAATCATGGTTAATGTGAAAACTTCCATGAAACAAAAAGCGATTGAAAAGTAAATTTTATGTACTCAAAACCCAAAAAAAAGTGTTTCAAAAGTAATTTTTATGGACTTAGCACATTAAGTTTCAAATACATCATGCTAACATCTTCCATTTACATATGCCAGAAGTATACTATTAATAAAAAAAAAAAACATTTAACAACATCCATAAATGGGACATGCGGGAAGCAGAATGAACCAATCATGATTGGATGAGAAATTTTATGTCGGTCTAGAACAACTACTAGACATACTTAGTAGTTAATCCAGAATATCAGGATCCTACTTGCTAATTTACATGTTAAGCAGAATCCATTTTGGCACGTTAAATGAAATTAAGTGGAACCCTCATATGTCCATATGAAACTTTTTCATTGATTTGGAAACAACTACTAGACATGATTAGTTGTTGTTCCAGACTGACATAAAATCTTTCGAACGGGATGAATGCTAGAATCTCTGTTGCCACATGGATCCTTTTGCTAGATCATTTTCACTTTTTTTTTTAATTTTTTCTACTTCGTTGTCTTTCTTTCCTTCGGGAAAAACTGGAATTTAGGAGCGTGAGATCCATTAAAAGTTGAATAAATCTTATATATATATTAATAGTGTATATACTATCTCAGTTGGATGTATGATACATATATAAAATTTAAATTGAAATCATATAAAATACATCCAATAGTAAAAGTGTATACATTATTAACATATATAATACTCCCTCCGTCCCACTTTGATAGTCTTGTTTTCCTTTTTGGTCTGTCCCAAATTGTAGTCCACTTTCCCATTAAGAAATGTAATGATCTTTCAAATTGTCTACAATACCCTTATTAAATATCTTTGACAGGTGTCGTGCCTGTGCAATAATAAATACCTGCTTAAGAAAAATAAATTTTCTGTGTATAGTAGTAAGCAGGGTCGAATCCACAGGGACTGGAAAAAATTTGATTCTTTTTAAATTCGAGACACGGGGGATTTTTATCAGATAAAACTAAAAATAAATAATTAAACAATTTAACTAAAAATAATTAACCAAAAATAAATAATTAATTAATACAATTGTAAATAGCAATTAAATAAATGATAAATAAATTCTAGCCAAGGATACAACTACGCAGACACAGTCCATTCATCCGATCATTGATGCAAAGAATGTTCACTTAATTTAATTAATAGGCTAGTTATAGTCGCCGATAAGCTCTAACGACCAGTTTTTCCTTAATTTATTGATAACCAAGGTACGACCGTTGATTACCTCTAACCAGGAAATACTCCTAGGTACGACCGTAGGAATTAATTTCCTAATTGCATTAAAAACTAGAAAAGCCTAACCCAAATTAATAACATGCTACGAGGGTTATTTAAATCAGATTGCATGTTCTCCTAGTATGTGAAAATACTAGTTGCCACTAATATTAACCAACTAAACAATTACGGATTTAATTGATTAATTTGACAAGAGATTAAAAATTCAAATTGCACATCGGGCCCTTGATATCCAATTAACAAAATAATCCCATGGAAATTGAAATAGAAAACATGCAAATATTAATAAATTAAGGAATATGTATAATTAATTAGATCTCACTGATATTTGGGACTGCGTCTTCGCGTTGATCCTTGACTAGAGGAGAAAATTAGCCACGCCTCATAAGAAAATTCCCACGCAATTCAATTGAATTCATAGACATAAATAACTAACTAAGAATTTAGGAAGAAACTTGAGTCTCGGTAGACTCTTTTAAGAAAAGTTGCACACCACACAACAAGAGAAGGAAGAACTCCTCCTCTGAAAACCAAAAACTACCTCTATCCTCCTACGGAGCTTATTTGGAGAGAAAACTCCAAAACTAGTCTAATGTCTTCTTTTTTAGTTTCTTCTTAAGGGACTAGCTACGTAGGGAGCAATTGGAAAAGTAATCTCCTGATTAAATGCCAGCCATAGCTAATCAATTACATCTCCCCAAAAGAGGAACCAAATGTCTAAAGCAATTCCTCAACTTTCTACGTGGTCCCCGCTTTGATTTCTTATTGCTAGTGGATTTCATCATATCAATTCAATTCTTCATCAGCAATTCCGTTGGTTTGCACAATTTGGGCTGATTGTGGAAAGCTTTTAGAAGCTTTCACGTGTGGAGAAATCTTCTCAAGAATGTCCCCTTTTTAGCACTTTTCTGCTCCATTTTCTGAAATTATATCCAAATACCAAATATAAATATATATTGACAATTAAAACAATATTTGGCAAGAATAAAGAGGAAAATTAACGATAAAATTACTAACAATTGACACCCTATCAGGCACACGTTAAAATATATTTCAAATATCATATTTTTAGAAATATAAGACCAATTAGCGAAAGTAAATAAATAGAAGGGAGAATAGGCAAAATTAAATAAAAAAAAGTATATAATTGCATGAGAGGTAATAATTGTTATTAGTGTATATATATGGTACGTTAGGTGAGTTTTAGATGTGTTAACGGATTCTGTTTTAAAAACATTACAATTTATACAAAAAGGAGCAACTAAATTTGAGTTAACAGTAGAACATGATTTTCTTTTTGGAGCACAAAATCATTTTCTTGAATTGCATTCTACATTTTTTAAAATAAGTTGTACCTCCGCAAACATTTAATTAGAGCTACATGCTAGCGCCAATATTATAGCGAGAAGGCTCTGGCTGCTTCTCTGATTGATTTACACTGTAGTTCAAATTAGACAATTAGTTTGAGAACCTGAAATTCGAAAACCATAATCTAGCAATTGTTTAAGAGCAATATCGAAATTAACGCAGGAACCATTACATGAATGCTGCAATCTTAATGCTCACGTGACTGCAAATTGAGCCGGAAATGGGAGGAATCTATCTCCAATTTGGTAATAAAATAAAAGAAAAAAGCAACCAAATCGGTACCACTAATAAAGGACCAGATGGGTCAATACCTTAGTTTCAAGGGACAAAAGTGATAACTTTGGCCTTGGTCTTGGTCTTTGTTTCGCACAACTGAAGTTGCTGGGAGTGCAAGTGTGAAGAAGATAATTTCATTGCTTTTTCAGTTCTGCTGCACCATATCTTCTCTGAACAAGATAGCGTCTTACAATGTTTACACCAAAAAAGTAAAAAAAAAAAAAAAAAAAAAAAGTCCAGCTATTGTCGCTTTAGATTGTTTTGTTGGCTATTGTTAGATGAGAAAAGTGTAGATACTGAACTAACTTTAGTCAGTGGTTAAACCAGATAGAAATCTGATATCAGAGTGAAAAGAAGATAATGGACATCCCCTCCAGCAGTAACACTAGTTGCTCTGATTTTGCTTTATATGACTATCTGCAATCGCATCACATCTCCTCCAGCACTAATATTGGCTGCTTTGATCTTGCTTTAGATTTTCTAGCCGAGTTTCCAAAGCCCTGGTATCTCAGCGACCACATCAGGGACCTGAAGGATGAGGTAAGATTATTAAAAACTTTTTTTCTTTATGTCAAAATGTGTAGGAGGAGGAGGAACCATGAAGCGCTTTTGGAGCATGATCAGGAGCACAAGGATAATATTATGTCTGAAAGTTTGAGACGTAGTATTATTTGTTTCAGAATTCAAGATGTGGTTATCAGGATGGTTCATGATCTTCAGTCTGCTTATCTTCAGTCTGATTATCGTCCATACAAACGTTTATGGGCAACACCATCTTCAGATCGTGACATCTTAGTAAGTGCGGCAACCAGATCCCGGGAAAATATCATATTTTTTCTTGAGACAGATGTCAAGAAATTATGCAACACCATCTTCTTTGACTATTGCTCATGGGCAGATCCACGACTAGTTATGGATCTTATTGTGTCCCTTTCACAGACTCTGAAGGGCCTTTTTTTCGGGGAGCTAATGGATACCATTAGACAGAAGCTAATGCTCTTAAGGAATCTCATTGGCTTTGTGACAATGCGAGGTGTCGAGTGTAAGCAATTGACAGATCCCTTGAGTCAAGTTGCAGTTGTGGCTGCACGCCTATTTCCTGTATGTCAGTTTGACATATATGATAAACAAGTGGTCAATCAAATGAAATCCGAAATTTCTCAGCTGATACATGAGAAGATAAATCCTCTTGATCCTCGAGTCCGAGAAGCTTACATGGATGTCCTGACCGCTTCAAAGAAACAATCAAGATCATCATGTTCTTTAGCCCTTGAGGAGAATGAGTGTCTAGTTGTAGTTCAATTTATTGAGTCTCTCCATGATTATCTTATGGATCTACTGGGGTATCATGCCAGTTTTCAGATTCCAGTTAAGGATCAGATGCTAAAACTTCATCAGGGAATAAGGTACCTGGGTACCCTTCTCAAGCAGGAGGAGAAACTAGATGATGAAATAAAGGATCTTCTTGGACTTGCAGTCTATGATGCAGGAATTCTGATCTTCTCCCTTTCCGCCAATGAAATCAAAGAAGGCTTGCCCAGGGAAACATATCTTGGGTTGTTTCATTTGCACAAAGTTCTCAAGTATATGATGGCAGAGCTTGCACACAATTATTTTGTTACATCATCATATTCATCATTTAATTATCCTAGATCCAATGAGTTGGGCTGTATGGATTTTTTCCTAGAGAATCTCCAGGAACTAGCAAGGTGTGATGAGGCTCATGATTCAATTGTTTTCCTATTGGATAGAATCCAAATGGTACACAAAGATCTCACATTCTTAAGATCTGTCCTTGAGAATATCAAGGAGCAGCGCTATCGGAATGGAAAACTCCAAGCTTTTTGGAGTTATGTTATGGAGGTTGCATGTAAGGCAGAGTTATTGATTGACTCGACACTTGTTGGTGATAAATGTGAAGATTCTTTTGATGCTATTGCTAGAGATATCAATCTTCTGAAGATTGAAGCCCTAGAGATCCAAAATGGTCAAACCCAAAGAGTTAACAAGAATTCCATTCACATACCGTCACAACTTGCTGCCGCCATACGCAATGAAGATCTCATAGGTCTCGATGACAAGGTGAAAACTATCATTGATCGACTTACGAGAGGATTAAAGCAGTTGGATGTTGTTCCCATTGTGGGTATGCCTGGGCTTGGTAAGACCACATTAGCCAATAAAGTTTATACTGCTTCTTCAGTTAGGTCATATTTCCATGTTTGTGGCTGGTGTTGTGTTTCTCAAACATATAGCAAGCACAGTTTGTTTGTTCAGCTTTTATGTAGTATTCATTCTAAGAGTCCTGACGAGTATCTTAAGATGGATGAAAATGATTTGGTTGAGAAGCTAAAGCAAGTTTTGCTGAGAACTAAGTATCTTCTCGTTTTGGACGATTTGTGGGATGTTGAGGCATGGAATTTGTTGGAAAACTCATTGCCGAATGATGTCAATGGAAGCAGGATTCTTTTCACCAGCAGATTCCAGGATTTGTCTTTGCAATTCAAACCTGGTAGCAAGCCTTACCATCTTCGCCAACTTACTGACGAAGAGAGTTGGGCATTGCTACAAAAAAAGCTATTTGACAAAGAAGGTTGTCCTCCAGAACTAAGTGAAGTTGGATCTCAAATAGCAAAAATTTGTAGGGGCTTACCGCTCACAGTTGTCCTTGTTGCTGGAATTCTTGCTACTATTGCACAAGATAGCTGGGAAGAAGTTGCAAAAAGTCTAAGTTCTATTGTTCTTCACGATGAATACTGCATGAAGACACTTGAGCTAAGTTACAGTCATTTACCAGATTATTTGAAGCCATGCCTTCTATACTTTGCTGCATTTCAAGAAGATCAGGTTATTAACGTCCGAAGGTTGTTATGGCTTTGGATCTCTGAAGGATTCGTGCAACAAATTGAAGGAAAGAGCTTAGAGGAAGCGGCTTACAACTACTTGATGGGTCTAATTAATAGAAGTTTAGTTATGGTTACCAAAACAGGAGCTATGAATGGTGCCAAAACCTGCTGACTTCATGATTTGGTACATGAGTTTTGTGTGAAAAAGGCCAAAGAAGAAAGTTTTCTACATGTTATTCATAGTTGGAAAGACCCTTTTGGCCTTACTGGACAAAGCAACCCCCACCGAGTTTGTGTTCATAATACCAGGGAATTGAAGATTTGGGAGATAATGCTAATTTTTCCCAATTTACGCTGTTTGCTTTTGTATGGAAATGATTATTTTGAAGGTCAAGAGAAGGATTGGGGGATTTTGTTACCTAAACTTCTTAGATTGTTGGACTTGGGGGATTGGAACTTTTGTAAATCATTTCCGATGGAAGTAGTATTGCTTGTTCACTTGAGATACCTGGTGCTCAGTGGAATAGGGTCCATCCCATCTGCAATAGACAACCTCTCAAGGTTGAAAACTCTTGTCGTACAAAAGCCGGATTTTGATGTTAAGCTGCCGGATACTATTTGGAACATTAAGACATTGAGCTATCTACATACTATAGATAGGATTTGGGGTTTCATTTTTCCAGATGGAAATCTAGAAGTATCCCCAGATTTAGATCATTTAGACACTTTAAGCCTTACAATTGATCCCTCCTCTCAATGCTTGCAAAAGATGCTGAAAAAGTTACCAAGCATCCGCAGGCTAAAATGTAGGAGTTTTTACAATGAACAAGCAGCTACCAGAAATTGCGACAAGATTCTTGTGTTTAACTGTTTGAAACTAGAATCACTTCATTTGGTGCTTTTTCAAAACAATGGATTTGAATTTCCGTTGAATTTGAAGAAGTTGGTTCTCGAATCGACTAGCCAGCCATGGAGTGAAATTTCAGCAATTGGAAAGTTGCCCAATCTTGAAGTGCTTAAATTACTGAGTGACTCCTTTACTGGGGAAGAATGGGTAATGAAAGAAGGGGAGTTCCCTAGCCTCCGAGTCTTGCAATTGTCATGGATGGACATTCGCAGCTGGACTGCATCTTCTGGCAATTTTTCTTATCTTGAGAAATTGGTTGTGCACCGCTGTTGGAATCTGGAGGAGGTCCCTTCTTGTTTGGGGGAATGTCCGGCTCTTGAAATGATTGAGGTGAGAGGTTGTCGTGAGTCTGTTGTAAATTCTGTAAAGCAAATTCGGCAAGAACAGATGGATATGGGAAATGAGGTTCTAAAGATCGTAATTGAACCTTTTTAGTATGCATCTTCCTCAGAAACAGAGTCCATTTCCACACTTGGCAATGGCGAAGCATTCATGTCCCATTTTGATTTGGATTCGACTCATCAGGTCAGATAAAAGTATATTTGCATATGTTGAATCAGTTCAATTATATAATGATTCCTAGCGAACCATTCATGTCTCTTTTTTCTTCTGTTTATATGTTGAATGAGTTAATTGATACTATATTAATTCATGTTTATTGAGGCAATTTCTGATCGCTTCCAAATTCTTTTCTTTCTTTCTTGTTTTTGGGACCTTATGCTGCTATATAACTTTCTTATTTCATGCATTATCCAAACCAAATTAGCTACTATAATCTGTTTCTAAAATCTTCTCCTTGTTCTTTTCTGGTTCAGTATTGAAGGATTTTTAGTCCCAATTTCTGAAATCTTCTTCCATGCTCGTACATATTGTTATGATATTCAAAACCAGGAGAGAACAAGCACATACATAAATATATATATATATTGTGCTCTCAATTTGTGTATCTAAGTAAGAGTAATACAGAAAACTGTTAATTTGTTTCTGTTTTTCCTCAGTTGATTGACATGTTGAAACATACAATAACAGACATGTTGAAACTTTATAATTTGCATAATGTTGTTATATGAAGCGCATGTTTCATTGACATTAAGATCTAGAAATAGTTTTAAATATCTGAAAACGTGTGTCTTTCTTCACTATATTTTGCTAAAGTACAAACAATTTTCTTAATTCTAAAGGAAGCAATTTTTCTTAATTTTAATGTTGCTTCATGTTTCCATTTTACGTGGTGAATTGCTTGAACTGATCAAAATGACAAATCAGAGAAACTAGATGACCCCCTTTTTTTTGTTGGGTGATCTGTAATCCTCTATATTCAACTGATGTAGTACTGCTATAATTCCTTCTTTCAGAACACATTTCCTTGGAAGGAGAGTCTATTTCTTCTCATCACACCAGAAAATGGTGAAGACTGAGAGATGTCCCTTCTTGTTTAGCGGAATATGGTGAGTCTGCTTTAAGTTCTGTGAAGCAAACTCTACAACAGGGAATGGGAGCAGAGTTGAATTTCTCAGAAGAAGAGTCAGTTCACTCAGAAGCAGAGTCCTATGCCTCAGTTCTATGTACATGTTGATTCAGTTCTATGTATAATTATTCATGTTTCTCCTAACTTCTTACGATGGTGAAGCATTCATGTCTCTCTTGACCTGCATATGTTTCTCGAAGCAGTATCAGGGCCTTTTCAACTCTTTTGTTTGAACTTGCTGCAGATATATAAATTTGTGATTTGTGATTGCAGTGGCAAGAACAGTCGTGGATTAAACAATCCAATAGTAACTTCTATCAGTAATCTGTTTCTATGATGTTCTTCAGGTTCTTTTCTCGTTTGAGGTTCTATATGTTTGTATTTCATCATCCCGATTTGTTGAATATTCTTTGATTGCAACTTGCTTCTATTTTTCCTCGATAAAGAACCGTACAGTCAATTTATAGATACGTTAAAACATACAATAACTGTTTTGCAATAAATATGAAGTGGAGACACCGAAAAGAGAAATCTAGATTGTGTTACTTTTCAATAGAGAAATGACATAGGAACAAAATTGAAAATTTTGCTTCAATTCTTCTCTTATATATGGAGCCCATGTTTCATTGGCAGTGAGACCTAGACAGAGCTTTGTACATCAAGGCAAAACAGGAAAATCTGAAAACATGTAGGAATATGTTATCTTTATACTTGCCTTTCCCAAAAACTCTTGAAAAATTCCAATCCAAACAAGTTTTTAGAATTTTGAAGTTCATGTTCCATTAGTGTAAAGGTTTTATTCCACTTTGTACCCTCGAAGTTCTTTTTATTTTCACTTTGCTCCTCAATGTTTTAATTACAAAACTTTACAATCCTTCAATGTTTTCTTTGCTTTTCTCTTTCAAGGGGAAATCTTAGGCCCTGTTTGGATTGCATTTTCCGTCATTTTTCATGGAAAAATTACTGTAGCGATTTGATGTATGTGAGGGAAAAAGGTAATAGGGAAATGTGATCACGAAAAATGACGTAATTTTCTGGCAGAAAATGGCAATCCAAACAGGGCCTTAATGTTTCAAGGCAAAGGGAAGTTCTTAAGAGTTGAATTAAAAATCTCATAATTACCCAACTAAATCCTCCGCAAGCTGAATTGGGGCTTGAGACGATACTCGTATTAATGTCATGCATCCCACTTTTGACCAATTACTAAACTTGTTAAAAGAAACACCACAAGATTATGCAATGTCAAACAAAACGTACATGTGTGAACAACATATAGATTAATTTTATTGAAATTATTAAACTGGGGCTAAGAAGACCTTAGTTTAGTAACCATGTTTGAAATCTCAAGGTTTAGAAGTTTTGGGTTCAAATCTCCTTCTCTCTCCTTACTTCTTAAATCCTACCTGGTTTCTACTGGATTTGGGGCAGGAATAGTCAACAGAAAAAGCATCCGGATCGATTTTGTATATTTTGCACACAATGTAATTCACTTTACACACTGTGTAAATGTAGAACAAAATTTTGTAGATCCCACACATAGTGTAAAAATTGATGTACAAGATGAAATCTGGGTCTTATACTTTTTTTGGCCAAATCTTGGCCATCAAACTTCCAGAATGATTGCTTCCATTCCTGCCCCAAATTCGTTTCTGCTTAAAGAAATTAAATAAATAAAAGAAATACTTCAAATTGGCAGCATGTAGAACTTTAAAGTATATAAAAAGAATTGTTAAAGTAAAACAAAAAAATCAAAATCCAAAGGGATAAATATATTACAAGAAGAAGCTTCACTTTTTTTTTTTAACATGCATAAACTTCATGAAAAATGGATTTAGTACTAATGCACAAAAAATGTAACTTAAGCCTTTCTTGATAGAAGTGCGGGCCATTTTCTACTATTTCAGTTTTTGAACTAATAAATTTATAGCCAAAAAGGGCAAAAAGTTAAAAATAAAAGAAATAAAAAGGCTTTCAAATAAATAAAACCTGAAATGTTTGAACAACCACTCAACAAATTCCCAACTTTCCTCTTCTTAAATCTTAGGCTTTTTTATCTCTTCACCCCTTCTCAGAGTTCTACTTCCTCAAGCGTTTAACTTACAAATTTCCCTTTCTTAAACACTTTGATCTACGTCCTGATCAGGGGCGGAGCCATGTAGGGTGGGCAATTGTCAAATTACATGATAAAACCCATCAAAATGATTATGTACAAAAGGCAAACATTTTATGTGCATTAATTTGGGTAGTCAATCCTCATTTAAAAAAAAAAAAAAAAAAAACCAGGTCACTTGTTTGCTTTTCAAAAAGCGATAATTTCATAAACCTTCCCTGAGTTTTTTGATGATTTCAATGAGCTCCCCAGAAATTTAAAAAATTACACTTACCTTCCCTATCCACCTAAAATGACAGTACTAGCCTTAATTTTTACATAAAACTCCCTTGTTTGGTATGTATATAAAAAGAATGGGATTTATGATTATTTTTTCTTTTCATTTTCTCTTCTTGTTCCTAATTTTTTTTTTTTTATGTTTTACTAGTAAAACTATGGAACTATAAAAACCAACATTAAATGTCAAACTAGTGACTTTTTTTGAGAATTTTTAATGTGATCCAACATTCTCTATTTTAAAAGTGGAGTTACCAGATAAGGTACAGTACAGCGAGCGTTTCCTCATTTTGATTTCAGTGGTAAAAGATCAAATGTTGAATGCATCATCTAAAAGAATATATTATTACAATGGTACCTGATGAGCACTTGTTAAAAATTTTTAAAAAGAACTATTAACAAATAGTATGTGAATGTTATATGACTTTTTATAGATCACCTTTACAATAGAAAATTTTGGACAAATTACATTATCCAACAAGAAAAGAAACTATAAGATAAGAATCCATAACTAATTGCATTTGAGTCACTTATTTTGGGTTTAATTTCATTTCATTTAGAAGATTTGACACTTGGTGCTCCAAATAATCTTTGCACTCGGACAAATCTATAAGACTATCCTCGGTTCGCAGAGAAATACATAACTTTAGTTTTGCCTTTATTCTTGTGGGCAATGTTTATGCCAATGTTGCCTGATTCACAACTGCTGGAATATGAGCATCAGTTGTTAAAACAAATCAACATGAATGTTGTATTCGTTAATTGGGTGTGCATCAAAATAAGGATCTTTTTATTCTGCTTAATCTATAAATAACTGAACTTATCTTGCTTCGGCCACTGTCTCGCAAATCAAATTAAATTGTAGGTAAGACTTTTTTTTTTTTTTTAAAGATCATTAAAACTAGAAATATATAGACAAAATTAACCTAAATATTAATCACGACATAATATTGATCATTAAACTTGTATGAAGAATATAGTAAGCGATAAAACATACCTTGTGAGCACATGCATGTTCGTGCGAAATGTGATTATTAATCGGGTACGCACAAATGAAATCAACATGGATATAGTAAAAGAGAAAGGAATAGTAAAAAGAAGGTTAGAAGAAGATCCTTCTTCGTTCAATAGAAAAATAATACTTTAATGGTGAAAGTTTTCCATCTCATACCTGCAGCTCAGAAATTTGTCTGAAAATCCTGCAAATGATTATGAGATTATGCTTCAAGCAAATTCATATGAGAAGACCTTGAATGCACAATTGAAATATTCATCAAGTCAATTACATACTCTCATCTAAAGTATCGAATTTGATAAAGAATTGCATGGCTGCAAAGCATAGTAAATAATCCAAAAGTTGGCCGCTAAAATTTTTTTGGGGCAAATTAAAAAACTTTTATTGATCTCAATAGTAAAATTTGTACACACGGGTAATCACCCTTCAATCATACTACCACCTACGTATCATATACATTTGTATCTCTACTCTATTCTAACAAACACTTCCAATCCATCCCCCGTTCCATCACTTGCTCCCAGTTTTGCCGTGTACATGGAAAACCTGACCAACGCTAGTTACATAACATATTGCTTGAACAATAGACTTTGTAAGTCCAGAGCATTCAACAGGCTTTGACTAAAAGATTGCCTCATTTCTAAAGCTCCAGATGTGGTACACAGTCGTAGCTAGAGCTAACCTGTGAGAACCCGTAATTTTCTCATTTTCTAGGTTTTATTCTCTTTAATGGCTTGTTTTCTGCATTTTCTTTATTAGGAAATTTTCTAGATAATGTTTATGAGTAAATATAGTTTTTGGATGATTTCTCTAGTATTGGTTAGTTTTTGATAAATTAAGAGCGTATACCGGACGTGGGACCCGCTAGTGCAGAAAGTTCGGAAAAATTCGGCCAACTAGGTTAAGTTTTGTATACTGGGTTTAAATTATTGGGTGTTATGTAATAATTAGAGGTTGCTATTTGGATTGGTGTGAGAGGAAACAAAGAGATAGAGATGCATTAATGAAAGTGACAAGTGTCACTTAGAGATTAATTCTCACTTTTTGACTACTATTCATTCTTTTACCATTTTACTAAATAAACCAAAAATTGATCAAAAATCACTTCATTTCCAAGCTCATAGTGGCCGGCTCTCTTCAACAAAAAAGAAAGGAAAAAGCTCTCCAAGTCTTGCTTCAATCTTGCTCAAATCCAACAAACTAACCATTTAATCTTGCATTTGTTCCATAAAAACCCTTAAGTGAGTGGTTGTGAGGTGTTTAGTGGAGTTGTTTAGAAGGCTAAGGTGATTAGTTGCTCCCTCTCTTGTGTTGCTAAGGTGAGTAGTGAAGGAACCCCTCTCCTCCATCTAATGATGTTTAATTCATGATTGGTGGTAGTTTAAGATGTAATTCTATGGATTATATCTTGATTTTTGGTTGAATTGGTGAAGTTTTATAATTATTGGTGATTTTTCTGTTTTCATATGATTATTATTATGTGGTCACGTATGATGATTGAAAATGATATTTAAGGAAGTTAGAAGGTGGAAAAAGTGGTTAATTGTAGGAAATTTCTGTTTTGGAAGGAAAATTGGAAAACTAGGGTTTCATGCCCTACATTCTGCCTGGCACTGTTCATCATGGCTAGAGGCCGAATTAGCCTTGGATTAAAAAATAAAAGTTGTAGGGAATGATATTTTAGAGATACCTGCAAAATTTCAGCTCAATCGGAGCAACGTAGCCTATGAAAAAATCGAAATACCCCTGCTGCCCTGTTTCTACCCGAACTTGATAATTGCTTCTGTAATCGGCTAATTTGACCAGGAATACTACTAATTTGGGTTTTGATGCCTTCTTAAGAAATGTAGCCTGGACTCTTAGCTTTCGTATGGCTTTGGAATCACCTGAATTGGATTTTTGTAGCCTGAATTATGGATG